GTAGCCGCATTTCTCACTGAGATTTCACCATTAGGGGTTTTTCTGGGTTTTTTGATCCGATTCTTCTGATTTAAGTTTTGGGAATTCTCGATCTGTGAGTTTTATGAGCTTCCGATTTTGAAGATGGATCTATCTTCTTCTCAACGACAATCCCCAAATGGTTCAAGGGGTTTTCGTCTTCAAGCTCCATTGGTAAAGTTTCTTTCTTTAACTTTCTTCGTTTCCAGATTCCATGGTTTGGTTTCTCAAAATCGAAGATTAAATTCTCGACCTTTACGGGAAACTTTGTTGTTGAAATGTGTAGACTTTGCTTTAAATTACTTTCCTTTTTCAGAAACCCTAGCTTAAAATTCTCCAAATTTGGTAGCTTTTGATTCTTATTTCCTGTTTCTCACATGCCCTAAATGTTGCTATACCAAATTCCTTTTTTTTCTTTGAATGTTTGATTGATTTATGAGATTTGGAATCTTTTTCTGCAGGTGGATTCTGTATCTTGTTATTGTAGAGTAGATTCAGGTCTTAAAACAGTTGTAGAAGCAAGAAAATTTGTTCCTGGTTCAAAGCTTTGTATTCAACCTGATATCAATCCGAATGCGCATAGGCGTAAGAATTCGAAGAGGGAAAGGACGAGGATTCAACCGCCGCTTCTCCCTGGTCTACCGGACGATCTAGCGGTTGCTTGTCTTATCCGTGTCCCTCGAGCAGAACATAGGAAGCTTAGGCTAGTGTGTAAGAGATGGTATAGGCTTGCTTCTGGGAACTTCTTTTACTCTCAAAGGAAGTTACTTGGAATGTCGGAAGAATGGGTTTACGTTTTTAAAAGAGACCGTGATGGGAAGATCTCGTGGAATACGTTTGATCCGATTTCTCAGCTTTGGCAGCCGCTTCCACCAGTTCCTAGGGAGTATTCAGAGGCTGTTGGGTTCGGTTGCGCTGTTTTAAGCGGTTGTCATCTATATTTGTTTGGAGGTAAAGATCCGCTAAGAGGATCGATGAGAAGGGTTATTTTCTATAATGCCAGGACGAATAAGTGGCACAGAGCACCCGATATGCTTAGGAAGCGACATTTCTTTGGTTGTTGTGTGATAAACAACTGCTTATATGTAGCGGGTGGGGAATGCGAAGGAATTCAAAGGACATTACGGTCAGCTGAAGTTTATGATCCGAACAAGAACAGGTGGAGTTTTATCGCTGATATGAGCACGGCAATGGTGCCTCTTATCGGTGTGGTTTATGACAAAAAATGGTTTCTCAAGGGTCTTGGATCTCACCAACTAGTCATGAGTGAAGCTTATGACCCGGAAACTAATTCATGGAACCCTGTTAGTGATGGGATGGTTTCTGGTTGGCGAAACCCGTGTACTTCACTAAACGGTCGTCTTTACGGATTGGATTGTAGGGACGGTTGCAAACTCAGGGTATTTGATGAATCCGCGGATTCGTGGAACAAATTCATGGACAGTAAAGTTCATTTAGGAAACTCAAGGTCGCTTGAAGCTGCGGCTCTTGTTCCGTTGAACAATAAGCTTTGTATAATCCGTAACAACATGAGCATGAGTCTTGTCGATGTCTCGAATCCCGACAAGAACAACCCTCGAATTTGGGAAAACATTGCCGTTAAAGGACAGTCTAAGAGCCTTCTCAGTAATATATGGTCGAGTATCGCAGGAAGAGCTTTGAAAAGCCATATTGTCCATTGCCAAGTGCTTCAAGCTTAACGAAAACTCAACAATGGAGCCAAATTGTTCAGAAGAAACCAAACAAGACCTTGAGCTTC